GGCGGGCAGAGGGCAGCGGGTACGTGCCGTGGCAGACTTGGGGCAGGGCGGCTGGAGAACGAGGAGAAGAAAAGGAAAAGGCACAAGGGAAGGGGAGAAGGGAAAAGAAAGAGGATCGGTGAAAATAAAAAGAAAGAAAGAGAGAATGAAAGAAAGACTAGGGGAGGAGAAGAATACAAGGAGTGGGAAATGGGAAGAGGAAAATTAAAGGGAGATGGAAACAAAGAGGAAAATGAAAGTGGAAAGAAAAAAAGGAAATCTTGAAGTAAGGGGGAAGGGAAATAGGTAGAAAAGAGGAAGACAATAGGGAGAGAGGAAAGAATGGGGAAAAGGAGGTGTATAAGGAAAAAAGGTGACAAGTGAAGATGAAAGGAAAAAGGAGAGAGAAAATTAAGAGCAAAGGGAGGACTGGATAGTGGAAGGGAAAGGGTGGGGGGAAGAAGAAAGGGAATAAGAGAGAGAAAAAAAGGAAGGAGGTGAGGGAAGGGAAAGAGAGGGAAAGGGAAAGGAAGCTTTGCTTGTAGCACATCAAGTCTGCACAGACCAGCACCCCAGATGAGCCCAGTCCTACCCGGGCCAGCCTGAGAACAAGTGCCCTGGTGCTGCCCAGGTGCTGGACAAGCACAAGGTGACCTGCCTGCCTGTGAGCACAGGGCCATGGTCACACTCCCTGTCAGACAGACTTGTGGGGCCTGCATGCCTGCCTTCCCCAGTGCAGCTTTCTCAGGCATAAACGGACTGGAGGACACCCTGTGCCTCCCTCTTCCGCACCACTCACTGGCTGGGGAGAGCCCACCCCACTCCTCTGGCTGCAAGGAGCAGTTGTTGTTCCATCCAGGCCTGGCCTGGGTGACCCAGTGTGATCTGGGCTGCGAGACTGCTCAGCTTTGTCCCAGGGCTGGGGCAGGACTGGGGAACAGAGCAGCTGGGAGCTAACCCTGCCTCTCCTTTCTGCCAGGGGCCCGTGTTGGAAGGAGATCTAAGATGAAGTTATGGGATGTTGTGGCTGTCTGCGTGGTGCTGCTCAACACGGTCTCCACCTTGCCCCTGCCCACCGGTAAGACGCCTCCCAAGGGGTCCCCTTCAGTGGTAGAGGGACCTGAAGATGATCTCTCCCCCATCAGCCTGCTGCCTCCCTATGCTGTGCACAGTGACTGTAAGAAATATTCCCCTTTGTAGCAACTGCTGTCTGTCTTGCTAAACTCGCTTCCCTTTGCTCAGGCATCAGGGTGAGGAGAGGATCCTCCCGTTTTGTGCCCCTGTTTCTCCACATGCAGTGTCATTGGCTTTGGTCTTGCTCGAGCAGCTCCAAGCTTAGTCACTCTCCAAAGCTGGGGGTTGACGATTGCAGTTGCAATGCCCCCTGCCCACTCCAGCCCTGCCTTCCTGGCAGTCTTAGGATCCCTCTGGTTGAAGAATGTGGGGAGGTGGGTGGTACAAGTTTGTTGTATGCAGAGGAGCCGAGAGGAGGATCTGGCTCACACCCCTCGCAGCACAGAAACTCCTGCAACGCCTCAGCCTCCTCTCCCTGCTCAGACCTGCCGATGCAATTATTCTCTGCCTGTAGTGGGCGCAAGTCCCGATGGAGGTTTGGCTCCGCGATGGGAGGCACTGTACACATCCTGGAGTACTGCTGAGCTTCATTAAATCCTCCTTGGATTCTGATCTCGAAATTAGTGTGTCCACATGGAAATTTACGGAAGAGTAGCTGTAGCAGGGTTAGGAGCTTGATGCAGAGCAATCCACATGAGCTAGCTCACAGTAAGACAGTTTACAATCCAAATGACAGATAATAATGCCTTGCTAATAATAGGCCCTGTGTCTACAATAGCAGGTACAGGATTTTCACAGTGGTATGTGAGCGCTATGTTAACTCTGGTGGCTTTCTAAAGAGAGAGGTAATATGACTCAGTAAGAAGCAGTGAATACTCACATGAATAGTGGAGACGTTTGCTTAGCAAAGGCGCAGACGCAATTTGAAGGTTGCTTCTTTTGCCCTTGCTCATCCCCCTCTCTGTTTAGCTCGTTACAGGATACAGACAGTATCCAGTAATTGGGATTCATTTCTATCTCCTTTTCTGGAGGCATCTCCTTTCCCTGCGCCTGCACAGCTCCAGTCACAGGCAGCCACACTCTGGTTTCCCTGGGAGCAGCCAGGCTAACGCAGCGAGGAGGCACCGAGCATTTGCTGTGACTTCACTTTGACCCCTCCCAAACACCCGTCTCTTCCATACACACACATTTATGCCCTTGCCTGTTTAGTCTTCTCCGTTCCCTTCTCTTGCTAGTGTTTCCCCCCTGCTGGAATCTTGCCTGGGCTCCCGCCTCTGCGTGTCCCAGCCTGGGCTCCTGCTGCTCACAGACTGGCAACCCTGACATCCTTTCAGCCCCTCCACACAGGGAGGTTGGCCAGAAGTGTTTCCTCACAGGGCTACAGCCTGCCAGGATCATGGGGCTTTCACACATGGTGATCTTCTTCTCCATGGCAAGCCATGTGGTGGATAAGTGCTGTCCTGCAAAAGGCAGTGATCAGCTTTTCAGGCCGCTGTGCTGCTCCCCTCTGCACAGGCTGGCTGAGGTGCTGGTGCAAGAAGAGCATTAGGGGGAAAGCATCATGAGTCCGTTTGTGGCTCTCGCATAAACTTCAGGGTGGGAGAGCATTAATGCTCCATCTTTCCTGAGTGATTGTATTTGTACAATGCCTGCTTTTATCTTGAAACTGCCCTCTGGGAGTATGGTCCCTGGCAAGCTGATTCCTCTACAGCAGCTCAAGGGGATAGGCAGAAGTTGTGGTTCTCTCAGTTCCTAGTATGCAAAACTTCTCATCATTGCATCTTCTTTTTTCCTTTCCTGTGGATTGGATAAACAAGAAGCAGGAAGAAAGACAACCTGTGTTTTACCTGAGCTGTGGTAGTATCAATATTATCTCTTTTTCCAGGGTACAGACATGGGCTTAGCCATGCAGAGCTGGGTGGAAGGTTATTGCTCAGGATAGTCATTTGAGAAAGGGCCAAAGAGATAGTTTGGTCTTGATTTTTTAACTCTGTGTATCACTAACAAATGGGCCTGTCTGCAAGAGCAAAGGAAGCAGTACTGTTCTTCACATCAGAAATTGAGGGAAACCCAGGGCATTCTGTGATCTTTGTAGGGCAGCAGTTAACACGACAATTGAGTGTGAAAGTTAGAAATTAATCTCTATGTAGCCAAGTCAAATGAGTCAGGGGAGACCTGCAGAAAGGTGACTGTAAGCGAGCAATGAAATACTCTGGTGCACTTTTATGCTCTTTGTTGATTTAAAAGTGTGCAGTGTCTGGCAAACAGGCTGTGTGGCTGATCCTTTCCAGGCACATCGCTGCCTTCCTGCTGCAGCAGCAACTCTGCTCAAGTCACCCCCATCAGTGCCTTTGACATCTTTGTTCTCTCCGCTTACAATCTGGTGCCATGCACCCTTCAGCGCAGCAAAGACACAGAACTAAGCACACAAGAGCAATCAGTGTCTACACCATGTACATTTCCCTTTCCACTTGAAGGCTTCTCTTGCCATCACAGCAGAATGTGCCACAAGCACAGAGGTGTGCTTGCAGCTCCCATGTATTCCCATCTCTGTGGGTGCTGTTGGTCAGCTGCTTTGCTAAGGGCTTTGGCAGGAGACAGCTCACAAAGTGGTGGGAGCACCATCATCACCTGTGTTGCCTCACATGCATAGGGCAGTGTGTGGCCCCTGGGTGCTGTGTGCATTTAGGTGCTGTCCCCTAAAGCAATCCCTTTGTAGCCATTTGCTCCAAGGTCCATTACTCTTACTCCAGAGAAGTTGTGTCTCCCACGCACCACCTGCATCAGGGCTTAGCAGGATTGTGAAATCAAGTCCAGCCCTAAGGGCAGGCCAAACAGCTTGCTGGGGAACACATCTGTTTCCCAGGCCCCTGACACCTTTTTGTGTTCTTGTTTGATGGGATTGCTTTCTCTGCAAAGTACTCTGAGGTCACCTGATGTTACTCCATCCCTTTCAGGTTGGCTTGAAACCTCCCTTCATTTCAGGCTCCAGGCAAGGTTCTAACCTCCTGGGCTGATCAGGTGTAATGTGCTGACCTTTGCTGTTCAGGGCAGTAATCAGAGATGGCAGAGGGTGCTAGCAATTGCAATCTTCTGCATTTTTAATTGCACTGGAGGCTGGAGTATCCTCCACAAATGCAGTACATTGGAGATGAATCCAGTATTTGTAGGTGTTTGGCATCAATATTCATGGGATAGCTTATTTCACACCCACAAAAACCAGAATAGATGTAGAGTTTGTAACTGTTTCATTGTTTCCCTTATGCTACAATCCTCTGGAGGAAGAGCACCATTAGCTTAAATACCAAATGCAAGTAGAACAAATATAAACCACATTATTATAAACTAAATACTAAGTCAGCAGCCCCAGAAGCATGACAGTGCAGAGGGAGCCAAACACTTGTTTGCATTATGCAGAGTCGCCAGTGAATACATCTTGTAACTGCTTGCTGTTGGATGAACATAGTCAACATGTACGTGAGGACTGGAGTGTCCTAAAATCCATGGTATGATGGGTATTCTCTTGATCAAGTGAGAATCTTTACTAAGAGCTAGTGGTAAGCAGGTAGAATTAAATGAAACATCTCCCCATGGGATTTTCCCTCCTGGTAAGAGGAAAAGATAGATTTTGAATCATGGTGTCTGGGTTACTCTATAGCTACTGAATGGTCATTCATTGTGGGAGCTCCTTTGGTATATGCTGTGACACACCATGGTGTGTCTTTGTGTTATACCTCTGTTAAAAGTTCTTCTTACTCCTTCGAAGGTGTATTTAATGTTGAGCTACTGGTTTTAGATGCAACTTTATTAATTAATATGGAAAGTATCTAGAAAAAAAACCAGTGGTATTGTAGGGCTTTTTAAGGCAAAACCAGTATTTAACTATGTTTCCAGCTGAATGCATTTCCTTCCGTACAACATTTATTAGGCCCATTCAATGTCACAAACTGCAGCTCTCACGTTCCTGCCCCGGCTTTCCTGCTCAGCACACCTATGGTGTGGCGTGTGTGCTTTACCTGCCCTGCACGGTAAACCCAGGGCATCAGGGAGGCATCAGCCCCCCGAGCAGGGGCCACCCTGTGCCATCTGATCTGTGTGTGCCCAGCTCAGCCCGTGCATCCAGCACTGCCAGCACATGTGTGTATGTCCTAAAGTTTGTTTGCATGGGATATCCAGGTTATCTAGGCTTTCAGAAACCCCAAGCATTCAGCTTGGTCCATTCATGGGCAAAATTCTAGAAGAATAAAGAAACCAGTCAGATGTGGTTTAATCCACAGCAATGTAGCCCTAAAAGCAAATTCCTCTGCAATCTCAGGTATAAATGCTGAATATACTCCAGTGAAGAACACTCTGTGACTTAAGGAAAAAAAAGTTCTGAATTGCAGGATTTAAGTTCTATTTCTCATTTTGAGTTATCCTTTGCTAAAAGTGTTAGTTCTTTGCTGCTTTTCAATTTAGGGACCTCAAAAGATTGCCAGTGAAACTGTGGGTGCTGTTGGATGTTTTGCAGGTGTTTATTGACAGATAACATACCTGCACATACTTTTCTTTGTTATCTTTCATTAGACTCTTCAGTATATTTTAGAAATACCCATGTTCAGGATTTGCAGATCTTCATAACATTCCTTGAAAACCTGAAGAATTTGGTTGTGTTAAATATTCATTAGACTGTCACTGAATTCAGTGGAGGAGTCATTGTTTGTCCACCAGTAGAAGATCCTCTGACTGATAGGTTGTAATGTCTTTGTAAATTATGCAAAGACATTACAACGTATGGTTAGTTCCTGGTTAGTACTGCAAAAAGCAGTTTTAAAATAATTAAAGTTACAAAGGCTTTGAGAAGCCATTTGGGTCATCAAGTCCCACCGTGCCACAATTGCAGGTGTTCAGAGGTGAACATCGAGTGCAAATACCCAGCTTTCATCCCTCCCCTCACCACTATCTAGAGATCACAACATAATACTTGTAGTACACAGACCAAACTACATAACTACATTTGTTGTGGATTCCCATATTTCTGAGGCAGTAAGAAATAAGTGCAAATAAGTAGAAATAAACAAGCAATACAAAACACTGCAGCATAACCATGTCCAGGATCATCTG